AATGATCTGAGAGTGGAATAACACAGCGTATTGTGGTAGAAACCAGATTACACCATGTATTGTCTGATCGAAGTGATCATGAACAAAGGGCCATTTATTGGTAGAGAACAAGAAATAACTAAAGCACGCGACACTCTGTAATCCCAGTATAACTAAAGCACGTGACACTCTGTAATCCCAATACGTTCTGACATGTAAAATTTGATACTTGTAGGCGATGGGGTTCATAACATATGTCGCGGACAGTGACACACTGACAGACTGAGGGACGGAGTGCAGTGGCATCCGCTATTACATGTAGAGAGCTCATATCAAACCTGTTTGAATAACATCAGTATAACCCTTTCTACTGACGGGAAAAACAATGGTTTCAACAACGAAGCATAGGCAGCAGCTACGTAAAAATATTTCAAGTGAATCCTCCCATACAGATTGGCAAATGATATACCTTCACATTTAATTTCAACCTGGTGTTATCTCTAAATATAATATACCCTTTTGTACGACCTTTAAGTAATATGCGTCCGCTCTATCTGCAGTAATTAATCAATTGCTCAGTACACATTTTGTGAATTACATAACAAATTGCAAATCACAATTTGCTTTTACGTAGGATTAGCCATTTAACAATTTTGCTATTAACATTTACTAACAAAAATCAAGCTTTAAAATGATTTTACAAACCTGCATAAAAGAATCCCGCCCTGGCCATCTGTAAGGGTGTCTGATCCAAATGGTTCGGAAATCCATTAAAGGTACCTGACCTTACCGCCAGAACTGCGTAGTTAGGATATCGGGGCTTAGCTGCAGTAACTACCTGATTGTTAAGGTTTCTTGCAGCACCGTTCGCTATCGCCGGACCGGCTTGCCCTTGTTCTGGTTGCTGCTGTTCGCGTTGATCTTGTTGTTCTAGACGTCGTTGCTGCTGACGCTGAGCAAATGTTGTTGGATGCTGCTGATTCATTGACTGCGGCTGATTACAGGTTTGATCAGTCAGTGCTTGGTTACCAGTAGGAGCAGTGACTACTTGGTTAGATGTTGGTGAGGCGTTAGGGCCAGTCAGTAATCGGTTGGCTGCCGGAGTAGCGGCATTAGAAGTAGCTGTATGAGGTCCCAAGGCGGTATGGGAGGTTGTGGATGCATGCGTTTGTAGACAAGCTGGTTGCGAGGCTGATGGGGTCTGACTTGGTCTCGACATTGTTATTGTACTTTCTGGAGACACTGAAGCTGCTCGGGAGACGGAAGCACCGCCGGATGGTGCCGCTGCCTGCAATCCTGTAAGAGAAAATTTGGATCCCCCACCGCATTCCGTGCCGTTCCTTGTTTCGATTGGATTATTGACGACTGGTAAGCTATCATTTGTTTCCGTTTGATCTTTTTGTACTTCCGGTAATGGCTGATTTAGTTGTGGCGCTACAATCTGGTTTGCTTGGTCTTGACCCAGAAATAACGATATTACTCTCTCTGGTGTTGAAAGTATCGATCCCAATTCAGTTTCCTCGGCGCTTCGTACCAAAGGATCGTCTGATAAAATAGAATAGCAAAATCATAACTATCAATGAAAGACTTCCGCGAAATTTTGAATTGGAAATACTTGTATCAGTCTGCATAAAGATTTGATAAATCATTTGTGAAAAGAGATACAAGTGTATATACTTAACTTTTATGGGAATTAATAGAGATGAAATGAATAATAACAATATCAACAACAGTGGTATGAAAGTAAAACTGCAACCGGGCCGGATCAGAATTCGATCCCTGGACCACCGATCACAACACTTTCGCTCTCACCCACTGAGTTACCTGATCAGATGTAGTTCTCTAGCCTAGTCCCAAAGTTATATACAAATAAGGGGAGATTACTGTATGTATTAAAGGAAATACCACTTCACCTCTTCCACCCGCTCTGCGGCTCAGACAGGATAGGGGTCCATGTATAGGTATATTTCCTACGTCTTCTCCATTCATGAAGCTAGAAATAAAAAAACAAGTAAACTTGACATCTTCTTCGCGATTCATAATGAACATGACATATTCTAACTAGATACTAATGATACCCAAAATTTAATATTTTAATATAATTAATATATTTATAAATAAGTTATATTTTGCCACAGCCACCCAGGAACACTATCGCCTTATACTATCCAGATACACAAAACAACACTTCATCTCTCATTTCTTTTCCATGAACAATTATATTTCATATCATGTTCAGTGTATGCAAAAGTATTTGATATGAATGATGAGTAACTTACCGACATCGCTTTGACATCTGGTAATGCACTGCGTACACAGAGTCTCCCCTTCTCCAGTTGGAATGGGAAACATTGCAGCTAAAACAAACAACTTCATCTCTTCTTCCGGTGTAGTAGAATCCATATTTAGCCAATGTTATTGGCAATATCGGACTGTCCATAGGGAAAGACCAGAAAGACCTTAGTCTCCCCCACTCATACTGCATAGACTCGGTGACGGTGGCAACACTAATGGCATCGATTGCTCCATTTGGATATTCATAAACGTCACCAGCAGGTGATCGCTCTCTGTTCCCATCATCTGACGTAAAAATGTCCGGTCTTGGTATTTCATTCTGGTTTAAAAATGGTGATACAATCGTTTCATTATTCCTTCTATTCAACAATCCTGTGAATCTTTCTGCTGATGTGTTGTATCTTAATGAACATTTACGATATGGAAAAACCCTTTTGACTTCTGATCTAGAAGTAAAGCTCTTAAAGAATCTATTCATTTCATATTTTGAAAGAACCATGCGAATGTTTTCTTTATGTGCTTTTCTGTGCATTCTTCTTTGTCTTCTTCGGGTTAGTACATGCGAGAGTTGTTTGCTGTTTAATCTGTGGTGAGAAGAAAGGGTCTGCCTTGGGAGATTATTCCCATTGGAGTCTAGTGTAAGTAAACTTTGATTGACAATTAAAGAGCATTCCCTGCTAAAGATGCCGTCCTCGTTGTATTTGCAGTCGCTGTTAAACGGCCAAAATGACATATCCTTAGGTTTTTGGTTATGTTCGTCATATGTTTTCAAGCCGTGGTGTAGTCCGACATGCGTTGGGCTGTCGATATTGATATTTCTGTTTTCAGAGGGTATGTCAATACGGTTTGTGTCCATAGGTCTTTCCTTCTGTAACCTATCCAGTGTGTTGGCCAAATCAGGTCGGGTACCCCCACGTGTTGGTACAGCGGGCTGATCAACATTTTCCATAGATCCTAACATAAGACCAACAAAACCATCTTCTGAGTCCTTTGAAACGTAATGAAATACGTCTTCAGATTTTCTGTACACCGACAATGTCTTTCTCGGCTGTTGAACCTTATAGAGAGATTTTGGAATAGTTTCTTCAAAACCATCTTCTTCTGTGATACCATCATCCTTGTGATTCTGGTCACACTCAGTGGTACAAGACATGAGCGTATCGTTAAACTCATATTTATGTTCGACGTTCCTTTCAGCGATCGTTTGACTAATTGAAATACTTTCATTATCCAGTTGGCATATTCTTTGATCTTGAGAAGGATTTCTAAAATCTTTAGAAGAATTGGTCTGTCCTCTTCTTTCATACTCGCTTGAATCGCTATGTCCATCTCTTGTGTTGATACTGAGGAAAATTCCACTCTCAGCTGAATCTAAGGATTTGTCAGATGCTTTTACTTTGTCAAATCGTGTGCAATCTCTAGCAAGGACTGTCGACTTGTTTTCTTCTCTGATGTTGTGTATAAAAATTCCACTGTCTGTCGAACTAAACGAAACGTCTGCTCTTTCATCTGATGTTCTTCTGTCGGTACCATTCGGCTTAAATTCTTCCGATCTAATATAAGACTGGTTTTCTTCTCCTTTTTGGCAATCATCAAAGGTTGTAGTGTTCTCTATTCCATAGTCATCATCATAATTCAATTTACGATCATATATGCAGGTGTACGTATACGTTTGTTTTTCCTTCACGTGCTCAACATCAGAAGAAGAGTTCACTCTTTCGTGCTTTCCATTTGTTTGATTGCTTTGTATGCCGTCTCCTGCAGCCGTTGCATCGATATACCTTTCATGTTCAACCCCATGTTTGGCACTATTACTGCTACTAAATGAAATTTGAGGAGAGGTATTGTGTAACGAATATTGTTTATCATTTAAATACAATGGTTCATTGCTTCTGTTTATCTGATGACCCAAAACTGATGTTTTCACAAATACTGTTAGACAATGTCGATCTGAAGTAGTTGTGTTATTGTCTAGTGTGGTCGTATTATTTCTGCAAGACAGCCATACGCACAGCAACAATACACTGCATCGCAATGCACATAAAAACACAGTTCCTGCATCAATTGTCAGCGATATTCTCAAATTTATGGAAAACACATTACCAGGAGTATCCACGTCTGTAGCCTCCATTATTAATCAAAGAGGCCGGAAACCTTAAAAAAAGAAAAATAATAATATAGAATGCGCTTCATAATAATCTGAATCAATGGATCAAACAGCTGGAAAAGACTGATTTCTACTTATGTACTCTCAGAAATATTTATCCTGTGGTTTTGATTGTCTGATTCATATTGGAAAGTGTTGATATATTATATTTGTTGATGAGATTAAATATATCAAATATATCCGTCCAACCATATGATTGTGACGTTATCTTTATTATTGGCGGTACAACTCATTGTGAAAATGACATCACGTTATTTATGTAACAGTCTAATTTTAGGGGTCTCTTTGTATAGATCACTTCAACGCTATCTTTGTTTCCATTGAGATTTATTCCTCATATATTAAACCCTAAAACAATAA